AAGATGATGTTCTTGTCTCTGTTCCAGTGTGGAGCCGGCGGGTGTCTTATTGACCTGGCTCAGGAGCTGCTGGTCATCATGGTGGGAAAACAGATGATCAACAACGTCCATGAATTCATCTCTCCGTAAACAACACACACAGACAACACACCATCTACCAAAATCTAATAATTCCTCTGCTGTTCACGGCTGGCAGGAGAATTTGAACTGGTATTCAGATTCAGAGTCCTTTCACATCCCAAAAACTTAGATCCAGGTTTAGCTTAGCAAGGCGCGCATGTCCACTCGCATTTCAGGTCTGGATTTATATCTTGTACTGTTTTGAGTTTCCGAAATGGCATTGATGATTCTGTTCTATCACAATATGTTTTGTTGTTATATAATTTAATTATTTTTAACTTATCATTTTTATTGATAATAATAATAAACACCAGTTACAATCCGCCGGTGCTGGTCCAGGTCATTCACTCAACTCGTGACTCCATGCTAATGCTAGTTCTGGTCAATGTAAAGTACAAGCTAGTTACTTAAAAAAGGACAAGTGAGATTTGCGCACCAAGCCAGCTTTAAATTTGGCGAGTGAGCCAGGAGCCGTGTTGTGTGAAGAATTAAATAGGACCGTAAAAAACAAATAAGGAAGAGGGTATAATAATTATAGCTAATTTCAGTGTCAGTACTATTTATTTGCTCATGCACTCATGACTCCATGCCATTCCTAGTTCTGGTCAATGTAAAGTACAAGCTAGTTACTTAAAAATAGGTCAGATTTGCGCACCAAGCCAGTGTTTTAATGTTTCAGCTTCTAAGACTATTTCAGTTCCAAGAATGGACAATTTTCAAGCCACACTTACTCCAGCAGTGGAGAAATTAGTTTGAACAGCATTGACTTGATAACTTTACAGAGACTTTATGTAAATCAAGTTCCAAGAGTCTGACAACAGCTTTCAGACTAGACTGCAAGACGCATGAAGCAGAATGCCTCTTGTTTTGGCAGGAAGGTTCAAGCGTGGTGGCAGAGAAACAAAATGCGAACTCCACAGATGGCAGGGACTCAGACGATGATGGACGTTTCTCCCTGGGAGGCAGATTACGAGCTGCTGGTCTGTGAGGGACTCTTCGGTGAATATCTGGAGATGGGTAA